GCAGCGGTCGGCGCGGGAGGCTGCCGCAGCCTACGTGGGCCGACGGGCGAGCTGGCGCCGGCGCCGGCGGGATGGACCTGGAAGTCTCGCTGCTGCCCACCGGCCCCAATGCCAGCAACACCTCGGATGGCCCAGATAACCTCACCACGGCCGGTGAGACATGTTGGAGGGGAGTCCTCCCTCCTCTGCGCCGGGGGTGGGAAATGGGAAGATTTCACCTCTGAGCCAAACTGTTGGCGAAACTTTATTACAGTTCTTGGGGATAAGATGTGCAGTATGCTTTGCCCGGAGGGGCAGGGGAAAAGGGGATGAGAATGAAACGGCAGGGGCAGAGGAGAGGGCAAAGGCACCCTGGGAAGTGGCCGGGGATGGTGGCCAGCCGCGAGGGAGGCAGGGGAGAGCTGCCGAGGAGTTCCAAAGATGCTTTGCAGAAAATATTCCAGGCTAGAAAAGCGAGCAAGAGAAGCTGGAGGGTGGTATGTAGGGAGATAGCTGGAGGCTCACTCATTCACTGATCCCGTTGGCTTCTCGCTCGAACTACGTGTTATGGGGTCTGAAACATCCTTACTGCCTCCTTAGAGAGACGTGGGAAGGGATAACTCACAGAGATGCGAGGACATTTCCAGCGCTAAGATGCCCTGGAATTCTAGCTTTGAAGGATAAGAGGAGGAAGAAAAAAGAGGAAAGGTTTGCATAGAGAAAATTCTCGGGTAGCTGGGCTGCAACACACAGCTTCAGTCTCTGGTCACTCAGGAAGCCTGGGAAGCCTGGGCTCAGAAGATAGGGACCAAGGAAATCCTGGATAGGAACCCAGGAGAGGGGAGGGCTGTGGGCTTGATGGGCAAAAGCCTCCAGGAGACAGTCACTCACAGAGATACCCAGGAATCAGTACACAGCTTTAAACCAGCGACTCCTGAAATGAAATGATCAGGGCTGCAAATAGGAAAGGAGAAAACACATGCACGCACCCACACATGCTCACACATGCACACACTTTCATGTCCTGCTGGCTGTTTTGATGTTTCCTGTTGAAGCCCAGAGGCCCACAGAACAATTCTCTGCAGACTGCTGTGGTTCTTGACTCTGTGACTTCTGAGAAAATGCAGGAGGCAAAGGACCAGTCCTTCAACAAACAGGTGGTGTGGGAGACTCTGATGGGATCGACCAGGGAACCGGTGCAGGAGGGCACGGGGGCAGGATTAGCAGCAGTGTGGGCAGGGAGTATGGTAGGGAGGATTCCAGATGAATGATGGGCCCTGAGCTGAAATGGCAGGAGGATAAAGGGGGGGCAGGCTCACGGCTGGAGGCTGAGCACGCCAGTAGGAGGTCAGCCCTCAGAGAGCAGAGTCCATGTCAAATGGTCGACGCTCTCTCCTTCTGTCCCCAGGGCTGCCACCTCGCACAGGGAGCGTCTCTTACATCAACATCATCATGCCTTCGGTGTTCGGTACCATCTGCCTCCTGGGCATCATTGGGAACTCCGTGGTCATCTTCGCGGTGGTGAAGAAATCCAAGCTGCACTGGTTCAGCAACGTCCCCGACATCTTCATCATCAACCTCTCGGTGGTGGACCTCCTCTTTCTCCTGGGCATGCCCTTCATGATCCACCAGCTCATGGGCAATGGTGTCTGGCACTTTGGAGAGACCATGTGCACCCTCATCACGGCCATGGACGCCAACAGTCAGTTCACCAGCACCTACATCCTGACCGCCATGGCCATTGACCGCTACTTGGCCACCGTCCACCCCATCTCCTCCACCAAGTTCCGGAAGCCCTCTGTGGCCACCCTGGTGATCTGCCTCCTGTGGGCCCTGTCCTTCATCAGCATCACCCCCGTGTGGCTCTACGCCAGGCTTATCCCCTTCCCAGGAGGCACCGTGGGCTGTGGCATCCGCCTGCCCAACCCAGACACTGACCTCTACTGGTTCACCCTGTACCAGTTTTTCCTGGCCTTTGCCCTGCCCTTCGTGGTCATCACAGCCGCGTATGTGAGGATCCTGCAGCGCATGACATCCTCCGTGGCCCCCGCCTCTCAACGCAGCATCCGACTGCGGACAAAGAGGGTGACCCGCACGGCCATCGCTATCTGCCTGGTTTTCTTTGTGTGCTGGGCGCCCTACTACGTGCTTCAGCTGATCCAGCTGTCCATCAGCCGCCCGACGCTCACCTTTGTCTACCTGTACAACGCGGCCATCAGCTTGGGCTATGCCAACAGCTGCCTCAACCCCTTTGTGTACATCGTGCTCTGTGAGACGTTCCGAAAACGCTTGGTCCTATCGGTGAAGCCTGCGGCCCAGGGGCAGCTTCGAGCCATCAGCAATGCCCAGACAGCTGATGAAGAGAGGACAGAAAGCAAGGGCACCTGACACTTCCCCTGCCACCCTGGGCACTTCCACGTCAGGGCACCACGGCAGACCATGGGGGAAGATGCTGAGAGAAACCGAAGACCACTCTGGGAGGATGTAGGGAGGCTGGGTGGTTACAACTAAAAACATTCAACGGGGCCCACAGATTGCTCAATGGAGCCAGGTTTGGGGGCTTCAAGCATCAGAAATCTCCTTCGGAGAACAAGATGGACCTTTGGGTTGAACAGAAACTGAGCAAGAAGATTGGTTTAAAGGTTCAGCTGAGCCCTACATCTGCTAGCTCCCAAATGTCTTTTTCCAGAGAGAAGACATAGAAGGCTTCTTGCCGGGTTTATTTAAAATCAGGCAGGGCCAGGGCGTGAGCAGGGGTATGGGCACAGGCCCCTGGGGAAATGGGAAAGGTGGTGTGGCCTCACCGCCTCTTCCTGTCTCTCATTGGTATGATGGCAGGCAACCTTTCTCCCAAGCTGGAGGATGATGAAAAATAAAGCATGTGGTCTCTCCATGTTCCAGCATCCTGTGTCAATCCCTTTATCTCTAGGCGATGCATGTTTATTTCGGGGGTGGGGGTGGGGTCTGAGCCCATGGAGGTAAAAGCCCAATTTGCTAGGAGATCCACTTATTGGGAATGACAAGGCTACCCGGGACAGGTGTGGGTGAGGGCCTTGAAATTAAGAAAAAGGGAGAGGGTCAAGGGGGGCAGTTGTGGGGTCATTCTCTTGGGGGGGCACATTTGTCAGTCACCAGATCCAGAGTGAGCACCCATCAGGGTCCTGCACATGCAGGGGTCATTCTGAGGCCTGGTGTGTTTGGCATCATTTTTTTGCTCTAGCTCTTTCTCTCCAAAACAAAAACGAATAAAGGAAAATCTCCACCTGTATCTCTCTGGACGCTCCTGTATAATTGCTCCAGCTTGGGGGTGGGCGTAGCGGTGGAGGAGGGCGGCCGAAAAGGGAAAGAGGGGTCGTTTGGCCGTGGAATCTAGACCTTGATTCAGGCTGCATTTTAGGAAGCAAGAAGCAGGGGATCTGCTTGTCTAAACCCATAGGGACGATTACTGTGAATTCATTAGATTGAAATTCCACTGCCAGTCTTGTTCTTGGGACTCAACTTCCTGTCTTCTGCTCAAAAGCACTTGGTTGTTAGCAGTGCTGGCCCCTCAGGCCAGAGTCCCACCTGCCGCCTCCCCCGCTGAGTCACAAGTCGCAGGGCTGGCTTCTCGGGCAGCCTGAGCCTGAGCCTGCCTCTTGTGGCTGCTGCTAAGATCTGCTGCGAGCCACGTAGAGCAGGAAGATTACAGACGGGGCCGCCGGGCGGCGGCCAAGGCTGCTGCTTCTCAGCTTCCTCACGAGCGGAGCCAGGAGCCAGGAGTCCGGCGTGAACCACTCCGCAGGCGTTGATGAGACAGTGGGAGCAAATTGTGAGCTCCTGACTTGTCCAGATGCATCCCTAAAGCAGGTGCATCAGCACAGCCTCCTCTCACCAGTTATTTTTCACTGCGGAGTTGCAGCAGGTAGCCTGATTAGCAAACTTCTAGGCAGCTTCTTTAGGTCCCAGGGAGCCCTTTGTAACCATCATTACTAGTATTTCCTGCTGGCGTTCCACTCCACCCAGTGCATGGGGAGTTGGGGTCGGGGTGGGGGGCGTGGAGACAAAGCAGACAGTTAGTTTTCCTTACTCATTTACAGTGGGGTCTCTAGCCGTCACAGGTAAGCTCCAAATCTGTTTTAGATGCACATCCAACAACAACAAAAAAGATTCTTATGGGAGCTTTAAGGCAACTCCTACCCACTCATTCCAGAAAAGGAGGTTTTCCTGTAACTGGTTTGCCTACAGAATTCTTCCCCAGGGTCTATGTTCTTCACCCTCTCCCCCCCTCCAAGGACTCTGGGAGAGGAAATAGGTGAGATGGCCTCTCCCAGGAAATGCAAGTGACCAAGGCTACAGGCCGGTGAGTGGGCAGGCGAATGACCTGCTGATGGCCCCAGAGACTCTCAACCCCATATTGAAAACTGAAGTTGAAGCAAAGTGGGTTGAGACAGGAAAGTGAGTGGGTGTGTTTTATGGTATGTGAATTATATATCAAGAAAAGTGGCAGAGTATGCAAGGCTGAGGGAGGCAGAGCCTGAGGGAGGTGATGGGGCGAACAGGGCAGTAAGAATAATAAAGGCTAACAATTATGTGCTGGCTATGGGACGGGCACTAGGCTAAATATTTGACGTAGATTATCCTATTTAACACTCACAGCAACTCTATGAGGCAGGTTCTATGATTACTCCCATTTTACAAACGAGGAAATTGAGGCCCTAGAGCGATGTTAAGTCACCGATCACAGGCACCCCTGGAGCCAATGCCTGTCTGGCCACAAAGCTGTGCCTCATGCACGGGACCAGCCATAGGATAGAATTAAGTCCCAGAACAAAGGCAGAAGATGCTCTGAGAGGCTGAAGAAGTCTTCACTTCTCACTGGGGATTCAGCGCATGTGGAAGAGACTTTGAAGTGCAGATAGGACGTTGACAAGTGGAGATGGGGAAGAGCAAGTTTCAGGCAGGTGGAAAACACCTGAGCTAATATGTAGGGTGGGAAAAGCTGAGTGTGTTTAAGGAACATTGCTGACGGTATTGGGGACCCTCCACCACCAATACACATGCTCCCTCTTCCCCCAGGGTATGGATCATGATTAGTCTAACCCTATTGGACAGCCCTCTTTCCTGCTTTCCCAACCTCCCTTGCAGCTAAGGGTCCACATATGATC